AAAAATCTGAAATCCTCCCAAACCTGAAACTTTCTGAGTACCAACATGACGCCACAGGTGGAAAAATTCCATATCTGACCTCAAGTGACAGGTTGCAGTCAAAACACAGCCAAAACTTTGTTTCATGTATAATAGTATTTAAAATATTATGTAAAATTCGCTTCAGGCTATGTGTTTAAGGTGTATAGGAAACATGAATGAATTTTATTTTTAGACTTGGGTCTCATTCCCAAGATTATCTCATTATATACAGGCATATATTTCAAAACATGAAACACTTCCAATAACCTAAACACTTCTGGTCCCAAGATTTGGGATAAGGAACTCTCAACCTGTATTTTTTCAAAGTCCCACAAGTTGGAATTGAATAAGGTCAGTAGATTGTACTAATATCAGTTTCTTAATTGTGACACTGTACTAGAGTTATGTAAGATACTACCACTGGGGATAACTGGTCGAAGGGTACTTACTGGTGAAAGAGTATTACATGTAATTATATGTGCATCTACAGTTATATTAAAATAAGACTTTTTCAAAGTTCCCCAAATGATTCTAATGTGAAGCTATGACTGAGAACCAGTACAATACTTTCTGATAGTAATACTGGATTTGATTGAAGAAGTCTTCTTAATTTGATCACTAAACAGGTATCAGGATATAAATGAAAAAAGCGAAGACAGTATCTTTTTTATTAACTTAATTTTATTGAGGTATAATTTGAAAATAACATAACCATTTTAACAGTTTGACCCAAGTACATACTTACATAACCACTCTTTCAACAGAGAACATTTCCATCACTCCAGAAAGTTCCCTCTTGCCCTTTGCAGTTAATTCCCCCTACTTCATCCCAGGAAACCACTGGGACTTTAAGACAACCTGTGTTGTTTTTGCCTTGTCACCGCCAAGCTCAGTGACTCATACCTGTAATCCTAGCACTTTGGAAGGCTGAGGTGGGCAGATCACAAGGTCAGGAGTTTGAGATCAGCCTGGCCAACACAGTGAAACCCTGTCTCTACTAAAAAATACAAAAATTAGCCAGGCATTGTGGCGCATGCCTGTAGTAGTCCCAGCTACTCGGGAGACTGAGACAGGAGAATCGCTTGAACCCGGGAAGCAGAGGTTGCAGTGAGCTGAGATTGTGCTGAGATCACGCCGAGATCGGAGAGCTAGACTCCGTCTCAAAAAAACCCAAATGAAAACAAACAAACAAATTAGGCTGGGCACAGTGGCTCACGCCTGTAATCCCAGCACTTTGAGGGCTGAGGTGGGAGGATCACTTGAGCCCAGGAGTTCAAGACCAATCTGAGCAACAAAGTGAGACCCTGTCTCTACAAAAAATTTTAAAAAATAATTACCCAGGCATGGTGGTGCACGCCTGTAGTCCCAGGTACTTAGGAGGCTGAGGTGGGAGGATCATTTAAGCCCAGGATTTTTCAAGGCTGCAGTGAGCTATGATCGGGCCACTGAACTGAAGCCTGGGTGACAGACTGAGACCCTGTCTCTAAAATAAATAAATAAACAAAACTAAAGAAATGTCTTTCCTCTCTTACCCACATGGGTATATGAGAGTGTGAGTATGCATATGTCAGAGTAAGTGACAAAAATCTACTCCCTTAGTAACAGGAGTATGTGTGTCTATGAGTAATTAAAACCCAACAATTGAACAGATTTGTTTTAGTTGAGAGTGATTGAAAACTGTGTGGGACCCCTGTGCTTCCGAGAGATGCCACCATGCCTGGCCTATGACTTAAGCATATTTAAGTCTCCCTATGAATATTGTATTTTAACACAAAAAAAATTTTTATACAATTTTCATTAGAAAATATATACAAATTTGTAGTCATTTTATTTCTTAGGTTTTCCTTATGTTACCAATTATCATTTTATTTTCTATATAACATTTCCTCCATTGTTAAGACGTCTGCGTTGCCAGTCAGCCTTTATTGTTTTGATTACTTCATCAAGGATCAAAATGTTTCTCTAGCAGAAACTCACTTTCATTTCTAAAGTTGTAGATAAAAAAACAATGGCAGAGAAGTAATCAAAAAGACAATCTCTTTTAAAAATGGCAGCATATCCTTTGAAGGAAATTTGCTTCCAACTTACCTTTGGAAGATCTAATTGGATTCTCTTCAATTAGAGCCCTGGGGTGTCCTCTTATCTCTTTGACCAATGCCTTGGAACATAAACGCTACATCAACATGGCAAGTAAGCCAAGCTCAGATAAGAGAATTACTAAATTCAATTAGGGTTAGTTCTTAATAGTTTAAGAAGGTAGGGAATAAAACATTTAATATTCAGACACCTTACCTATTGGCACAGAGATCTTTCTCTTTTTGGAGTTTGGCTTAAAAACAAAGCAGCCCTATAAAAAGAAAGAAAGACAAAAAGCATAAAGTTAAAGTAGCAAGGAGCAGAGAAATCTGATTAACCAAATATTTTATGAGTAAGCACTTTTTTAAAAAAAAGATGGCAGGGGAGAGAACACATTTCTTTCAGATTCTAAGAAATCACATCACTCCTCTCTGACCTATAGAAGGAAAATTCTAAAACAACAAGGGGGACTATCCACTCTCTCCCCTCCCTCCCATGAGATGCCCATTTTTTATTTCGCTCTTTGACACCTGATCTAGGAGGTACACAAAGAAAATAAAAGCTGATTAAATTTAAGCCCAGAAAGGTTCCATTTTCATAAACTTAAAGGAATTCATACTATACATTAAAATGGGCTGGGCACAGTGGCTCATGCCTGTAATCCCAACACTTTGGGAGACCAAGGCATGTGGACCATGAGGTCAGGAGTTTGAGACCAGCCTGGCCAACATGGTGAAATCCTGTCTCTACTAAAAATGCAAAAATTAGTCAGTCGTAGTGGCAGAAGCCTGTAATCCCAGCTACTCAGGAGGCTCAGACAGGAGAATCGCTTGAACCCGGAGGTGGAGGTTGCAGTGGGCTGAGATCGTGCCACTGCACTCCAGCCTGGGCGACAAAGAGCGAAGCTCTGTCTCAAAAAAATAAAGAAAGAAATAAATAAAAATGAAGATCAAAAAGGTTGAAAACAGTGATGTTCTCCCAACCTAAAACTTATTTAAACTCAAAGTATCTACAACCTTAGTAGGAAATAGATAATTGCAGCTGTTTCACTCTATATACTTTTCTTCATCTGATAAATGCCTACTCATTTATCCATTAAAGTTTGTCTCAACACTCATCTCCTTTTTGAAACCTTTCACAATTCTCACTACAGAAATTCTCCTTTCCCCGAGATCTCACACTACTTGAACATCTTTATTTTGCATTGCTTTAAGTCACTTTAATTGTATATCATAGTTGTTTATGGGTGTGTCTCCCTGAGTAGACTGTGAGCGCCTTCAAGCACAAACTGTATTTTATAACTGTTTTTCCAATGTTTGGAATAGTGCTAACATATATATTAGGCAATCAGTATATGGAATGAATAAATGCTTGTCAAGTAATTGTCTTGGTAATTTCCCAGCTATGTTTAGTTTCATACTATTATTTGACTAGTGGTAGACTGCCCCCAAGTTACTGGTCCTAGTCTATTCTACCAATTCTAAAGTTATGCACGATGGATAGCTTCTTTTTTTTTTTTTTTTTTTTGAGACAGAGTCACGCTCTGTCGCCCAGGCTGGAGTGCAATGCTGCGATCTCAGTTCACTGCAACCTCTACTTCCTGGGTTCAAGCCATTCTCCTGCCTTAGCCTCTCGAGTAGCTGGGATTACAGGTGCCTGCCACCACGCCTGGCTAATTTTTTTGTATTTTTATTAGAGATGGGGTTTCACTCTGTTGGCCAGGCTGGTCTTTAACTCCTGATCTCTTGATCCACCCACCT